GAACGCCTGCACATCGGATGAGAAACAAAAAAAGGTAAACTGCACGCTACAATTTCTAGAAAAATCAGCGCACTAATTATATATATACTTTTTTTTCGTTCTCGTTTCTTTCTCTTCGAAAAAGTTTCACATAAAATTATCAACAAGCTACAAACGAAATCTCATTGGCTACATTCTCGATACTTTTTTTTTCCTCTCTCTCTCTCGCTCTCTTTCGCTCTCTCGCTCGCTCGCTCGCTCGCTCGCACGTTCGCTCGCTCGCTCGGCCGATCTAGCGCGCGCATTCTCATCGTTTAAACGTTGCGCAACATATACACCATATTTTATTTTTTTTTTTATTCCCTCTCTTTCTCTCCGTCTCATATTTTTTTCTTTTTTATTTGTCAAAGGGTTAATAATAATTATCTAAATGAACGTTTAATATTCCTCTCATCTCGCTTTGCTCGCGTTGTTATTTATTTATTTATCCTTTTTATTTATTACCCTTTACTCTTCGTTTAACGACAATGGGGGATACTTTTTTTTTCGTATAACGGCACCATCTTGGATACATGCATAACAAATTCCACATGCCAAGAGGCCCCCCAAGTGTCATACTTCCATTATTTATTTAACTCTTTTTTTCTTTCTCAACGTTTTGCGTTCTCGTGTTGAAAAAAAGGGCATAGCTAAACCACAAACTCTCCAGTCATATAGCATTTGTTTTTTTTTTGTTTTTTTTGTTTTTTGGTTTTTAGAGCAGCTCATATTTTTTAATCCAGTTCATAAGGTCAACGGACGTAAAGTCGTCAGAGGCTGGCATCCGAAGCTGCTACTGTGCCTTCTATCGCAAAAAAACAATATTAAACATGTAACGTTATTTTGCAACTGTAACAATTCGACTAAGTACTCAGGCTATAATACACTCTATATATATAATATATATGTATATATATGCTACAACACGTCGAATCGCGCGAGCTTTCAATTAAAAGCCGATCAATAACAGTCGCTTATCGTGTGGCAATCTTTCGAAACGGTGTTTTCGTTCGATCGAATATTCATTCCTCGATGATAATTTCGTGACCTATTACATACCATGCATGCTCTTCTATCACGCGCGTATGCATATTCAATATGTATTACGCATACATAAACGTGCATACATATTGATCAATTTCAAGTTACATAACGACAAACATAACAAAAAGAAAAACGATAAAGAAAAAACGTTATCTTCTCTCCGATACTCATAGCACGTAACGAATAACAAAAAAAAATTTCAATTCGATCGTATCAGCCAATGATCTTTGGTTTCATCGTACATTTATGTACGTACTCTAGCAAACGAGAAAGGCCTTTAAACTCTCTTCAGGCGCAACGAAAATTAACATTACTACTATATCATTGTACTAACATAAATTAACGGTCGCGCGTTTCATTTTGTTCCTCGTGTACCCTGCAACACGACGACGGTTAACGGAAAACAGCGCACAGCGTGACGAAAAAACGGAAAGGAAAGAAAAGAAAAGAAAAAGAAAAAAAAAAGAACAAAACCGTCGAAACACACACGTAGTTGTGGAATTTTCTTTTCTTTTTTCTTTTTATTTTCTCTTTAGAGATATTTTTATTACCTTTTCCTATCATTGTGCAGAGGTACATTGGATCGTACCCAGCCCAGTTGACCCAATGCATAGCAATCTTTTCCGATTTTCTCCTCTTCACGAATAACAGTATCTTCCACTCCGACTGGAGTATAATGAAAATGATCCTGTTCGGAGAGAATTCTGCGTTTGACCGGAGATCGAATGGGCTCGGTTTGAACGCACTTGTCACATTGACGCACCCTGAATTTCAACGTTAAATTCGACGATACTGGAGGAAGCGGTGAGTCGTTCTCTCGATACTCCATGTAAGGACTCTCTCCACCAGGAAGGTATAACAAGTGTCCTGACTCAGATCTGCGATACGCGACCCGCTCTAACGTATTGTTCACAGGAAATGTCGTCCCATCGGCCCACTGACCGTCATCCTTTATTGGACGAAAGTGTGTGCGAGCGGAAGTAAGCAAATCCTCGTCCGGTTCTGGAAGGCTGTTTACCTTCAGATTTGAACGAGATTCTTTGCGTGTTCCAATGGGAGTTTTACGCGGTGCGACTGGAAAGAAGCAGCTACCTGTCTGAGGACTGTGGCCCAGGGCAGCTAAGTTGCTGCCAAGCCCTTTCCAGCACCATGAACCGTCCATAGCTGAGTCAGACCAGTTAACATTGTTCTCTGGAATAGTATATTATCGAAACGTTTATTTACCATCGATCAACTGGACGTAATGTGCAACTAATTTTCGCACGTATATATATGTATAGATGTATATATATATATGTAACAAAAAATGAGGAATAAAACATATATTGCAGTACGACACAAATACAAAACGACGTTCTACGTCTAACTTGATGGTACGATTATTTACTTACATGTCAGAACGCTCTCCTATCCGTTAGATATACTTAAGTCAATATTACTATGTCGTGATACTGGTAAATTGCATTTACTGCAACTACTGACCTGATTTATTTTTGTTACTACATTCATCCGCATAATCTTCAATGCTGATTAAATCGATGTCCCATGGAATGAGCGGCGAGTCGTCAACAATAGATTCCGGATACGGCGTGTCAGTAGCATAGCCATTGTCCGAGGTGGATAAAGCAAAGATTGTCTCGGTAGTGTCTGTCGGCCAAAGGGGTCCTGAAGGAATAGAGAGAGTAGGTGCTGCCCAAATCGAAGCCGTGTCCTGTGCATTGCCTGGTCCTGAATCCCAAAGTGCCTCTAAGCTCTCGTCGAACTTTGCTTGCAACTGTGCCAGTCGGAGCTTATCCAATTCCAACTCTAATTCTTTTTCCCGTTCACGTTCCATCGACTTGGAAAATCCGAAGTTCTGTTTTTCCTCCGTTCTTCGCGAGTCGATACTCTAAAGAAAACAGGTAAAATTCATGAAAAAAACTTGTCTCGACAAGTGTGTAGTTCCATGTTTTACTCGACCTTGAAGAACACTTACAATGGGCATTTTAGTTTTCTTATTGCGGGTTTTATTATTGTTTTTATTATTATTATAGTTGACTCCGTTGATTTTGTTGTTGTTGTTGTTGTTGTTATTGTTGTTGTTTATGTTGATGTTATTGTTATTTCCAAAGTTCCTATCTTTCCTTTGAGAAAACTTCTTAAGAGTTGTAGGTTGCAAAGCAGGAAATGCCGCGTAATATCTGAGAGCTCTGTCGCGTGGTGTCAGCGATTCTAAATTTGGTTTGTTTTCACCATCGGACTTGTTAAACTCTTCTTTCTTTTCATCTGTACCGCCACCTTCTAGGTCTCGAAGTTTCATACATAGTTCGTCGACCAGCGTTTCCACTCCACATTTCTGCATGTTAATTAAATAACACATGAATTATTAACATCTATAAAAACTATCTGAAGCGTAAAGATCATGACAGTTGATGTTACTCACATTATCAGCAGCACTTGTTAAACATTGTACAACAGCACGTCTTTGTTCTCTGTTTCCTTGAGTGGGCAGTTTTGCTTTAGGTCGGACCCGAATTCGGCGTCCTCCGTTTCTACCTGTACCTACTGCTTCTTCTGGAGGACTTAGGGCCGAGTCGGGGCAGCGCAATAGGCTGAGCACAAATCGCGAGTACGCAACGGGGTCGATTCCCAGTGCGTCCAAGCGTGCCTCCAGCCACTGGCGCAACTCCTCCTCGGCCCTTGCACCAAACACTTCACCTCCTCCAGGAGACGTCGCTATCCCGACCAGATGCAACGCCGGATTCCTCATTTCCTTTTGATAAAGCTCCTCCTAGACCCAGGAACTTTCACGAACTCCGCTACCTTCAGGGTGATCATCTTCTCTCCTTGAAAAGTAAAAAAAAACTTGTTACTATCGTGTGCCGAATTTTCGATACGAATGAAGATTAATGAAAAAGCGAATGACAAATCAAGTTACCTATTTACAATAGAGTTACGGTATTATATTATTGTCCTTTAATGTTTCAATTTTACTGAATCCACCACCTTGACATTTACTAGCTTGATAAATGTTTGTTTGTTTCTCTTTATTACTTGTAATTTCTCTCTTTAGTTTCGTTGCCCACAATCAATGATAGTGCTTCTTGCAATTTCAGTTACGTTGATTAAAAATTATTTAGTTCTTGTGCACAGGTGGTGGATATCTTGTGGAAATGAGGCTGGCAGGTCTTAGTGAAGGATAACAAATATAGTCTCCTTCCCATTTTGACACTGAAATTTTATAATTTGCAAAGTTATTTTCATAAAAATTCTACATGTGATAAAAAAAATATTTTGTACAAATAAATAAATAAATACATGTAGTTATTTCTTATTACTTTCCATTTATTGATATAATCAAAAGTATAATTCTATAGATCTTACATCATATATCGCAAACTCTACTTTGGTTTACACATGTAATAAACTTACAAGGTAGAAAATATTTTTAATTGAGACAGAAAACATTGTTATCATGTTTCTTATATAAGCAACACTAACTAGTAATTGTGCAAAACTTTCACTTTCGTATGATCTAAATAAGTATTAGTGCCAATACATTAGTAACTTAAACGTCATGCTATATATAAAACAATATATATAATAAGAGATTATTTATTACAACAAAGCAACATCGATATATTTGACATCAATTTTACAGCTGACTTTCATTAGCCCCCTGTGATAATGAAGATTAACGTTCAATACATATCGCATGTTACAAGAAATACAGAGAAAAATGAGTCATAGATATTTTAACACAATACTTAGGAATTAATCAATGACTAATGTCATTTTCAGATAAAGTATAAATATATGTCACAGGCTTTATTTATATTTTGTTTCATAAACATAATATAACACAAAATATTGCACCAAATTTCCAACTACTGTATTAAGCATCACAAAAAAATAAATTTCTTAAAGTCCAACTAGAGACAATGTTTATTACACAGACACAACACAAAACGATGCAAATTTACATAAAATTTTATTTGTTGCATTAAAGCATAAAAGTTAATACGACATTTCTACACCACAATTTGGAACGTCACATTTGACACGCTCGTTTACATTTCAATACGTTGCGAATTTTTCTACGTAGAATGCAGTTAAAAATGTAAGACGCAATTAGAAACGTACGTTCGTGTTAGAGGCTATTAAGTCACGTTGCACGAACCATGGAGCTAAAATACGTGTTCCACGTCGTGGCTCGAGTACAAGCTACCATAGTGCGTACACAAATAAAAACAAGCTACAGGATCGGTCGAAACGAATCGACACCGTTATCAACGTTGTCAAAACGCTTATCATTAGATTACGCGGGCACGAATAATAGGATGTAATACAACAGGATTTTTTAGTTTTCCACGCATTATCAACCAGCCTCGTCCACTTGATAGATGTCTCTCGAACTGATGTACAAAAACAAACTGGAAATTCGAGCGCATTATGCTGCAGCTCGACTGTCTATGTGAATTGTTGGCAACGACATTGCTCGAGCAATGCGAATAACCTTGCTGATTGCGCTATGCATTTCGCCTGAGTCATAGTTCTCCCGTTGAAAGAACGAATGACTGCATGACGTTACGAAATAACAACAAACCTGTCTTTGTACGCGACTCACTGTCAACTCGTGTCAAGCATTGTAGCCGTTTTGATCACGATCAACGAAAATGTTGAAATTTTGACATACCTGCATGCCTCGAGAGATGATTTTCACCCCGGCCTCGTCTACACACCCCACTCAGAGAAAAACATGGCGGCTACTAAAAGCTTCAATGCCCCTCCCCCTTCCAGCTGTTGGCACTTGTTCAATTCTTGCCCAAGATCTTCGGTGTGTTCTAAAATTAATCGTACAACGATCTTAAAGTACAGATAAATACTATTTACGATTGTAACTAGAATATGTTAAACCAAGTCTTCATAGATTATCATGGTTACTTAAGTACTTTCTTTTTTCAGTTTTTTCTTTACTCTGTTTCATTGTAAGTACATATGTATATTTCATAAATAACGTAATGTATACATTCGAATCTTTCTCGTCGATGAGTTGCGTAAACTAGGGAGATTGCAACGAATAACCCTATGCGAAAGAATGGATTGATCAATTTTAATCACTCAAGTATCAATTTATTCTTCTGCGTATTTAATAAAAGTGATCGCACGTAAAAAGAAGTTTAAAAGCATGCATTTGTATAAAATGTATTGCAGGTGTAAATTTTAAGTGGTCAAGATATGAACAGCAAGATTTTACATATTTTCAAAATCATTGAATTGTTTTCATTGAATAGTTCGATTTCTATTAGAAACACCACCTATATAATCTTAACTGGTTAAGAACATTGTAAATAAACGGGAATTGTTTTTATAATAAAATTCAGATGTACTTTTGCTGGTAAATACATTCTAAAAGAAACTAATGTATTGAAATAAGTAAACATATATCGGTATTAAATTGCGCTAGTAATAGTTATACTAGATTAACAACCAGCTGATCTTTGTACTCTCATCGCTATGTTCAAGTCGGAAAATGTGTGATGGTGAGGTATTTTACCACATTGCAGATAAAAACGTTAACGAGAGATTACGAAAACTACAAAAAAAATATTGTAATATACGATGAATTCTTTAATTAATTCAAAAGCAATGGTGTTCAACCACCGAGCAGCAATACGCCGTACGTACAATCAATTGTATTTAATTATTAATCCAAATGATAATCCAATATTTCCCAATTCGTACATTATAGCTATTGTACATGTTGCATTTATATAACATGTAAATTTGTAGATAGAGCTATTAATACCTGTGACAGATTAACATAAAATTTCCACTTTGCATTGTCATTTTTGTTGATGATCTATATAATTATTTGATTAGTAGGTTAGGTTGTGAAATAAGTATTATATCAATATTTTGAATGATTACGTCGCACTACATCGATAATATTCGTGAATTAAGTATTAATTGTAATATTTTTAAAATAAATAACATTTCATTGATAATAAACTATTTTTGTAACAATGGAAGGATTCTTTAATCAAATATTTCAGTCAGAAGTGCATCACTTGTACCAAAACATAAAAATGCTTCTAATTGTACCTTATGTGAGGAATTTTAAATGTTTTACAAAATATATTTATTACAGAGTATTGCTGCTTTAAATTGTGGTATAAGACCAATCAAGTAAATGGTAGCTTAGCATTTATCTGTATGGGTAAAAGAGACCTAAGGAATAATAGATTATTGTTGCACTCTACTGTAACAGATAATTTTAATAATAGTAATTTATCATATGTACAATTTCGTACATTTTATGTAACACCAACATGGAAGAAGAGTCAGGAGTCATCTTCCAAGGTGGAAGATACTGTGAAAAATATTAAGGAACAAAATCAGATCAAAGAAAAAACACAAGGAACTGTTGTACAGAGTGCTACTGTTCCAAAAGCATTAATAGAGAAGCCATCAATATGGCACAGAGTTAAAGCTGAAATTATACATTATTACCATGGATTTAGATTATTGGGCCTTGATATGAAAATTTCTGCAAAATTGGTATGGAGAATTCTACAGGGCAAAGAACTTAGTAGAAGAGAACACAGGCTTGTAAGTTATAAATGATGTTGTATATGTATTTATAATTACCAGTTATAAATGACATTGATTCACTTATTTGAATAATTCTACTAACTTACATTTTTAGCTTATAAAAACAACAGGAGATCTGTTCAGACTTATTCCTTTTTCTGTTTTTATCATTGTTCCCTTCATGGAATTTTTGCTCCCAGTTGCTATTAAACTTTTCCCTGGTTTACTGCCATCTACTTTCCAAACAGCAGTAGAGAAGGAGGATAAATTAAAGCAGGCATTAAAGGTACACATATTTCTTTATTATTCTTATGACATACATCTTACCTAGATGCTTAAATATAACGACTCTGTTTCAGATAAAAATTGAAATGGCCAAATTTTTGCAAAAAACATTGGATGATATGGCAGTACAATCTTCCGACTATAAATCGAAAAAGGCTAAAGAATTTGCCGAATTTTTCTATAAAGTTCGATCTTCGGGCGCTGTAGCCTCTAATGAAGAAATCATGCAGTTTAGCAAACTTTTCGAAGATGAGATTACATTAGATTCCCTTACTCGACCACAATTAGTTGCGTTATGTAGAGTATTAGATGTGCAAACTCTTGGAACGTCGAACTTTTTACGATTTTTACTTAGAATGAGGCTCAGAAGTCTCACTGCAGACGATAAAGTAATTTTTATAAGCGTAAAATATTTTTCTTGGATAATGGTAAATGCATTTACAATCACATAACACGTGTTTATTTTTACAGCTAATTGAAAAGGAGGGTATAGATTCACTTACTAGAAGTGAATTGCAACAAGCTTGTAGAGCACGCGGAATGCGCGCATATGGTTTGCCAGATAGTAAATTAAAGGAACAATTGTCTCAGTGGTTAGATTTAAGTTTAATTAAAAAAGTTCCACCTTCGTTATTGCTCCTTTCACGAGCGCTTATGGTTCCGGAAACTATACCTATGTCAGACAAATTGAAGGCTACTATCTCAGCCCTTCCTGACACTGTCGTTGCTCGTACTCAAGGTGCTATAGGAGAAAAAGAAGGTAAAATGGATCACAAGACGAACATTGAAATTATTAAAATGGAAGAACGTAAAATCGAGGAGGAACGTCAAGAGAAAGAACCGCATGTCGTTCTTCAGAGTCACAAGAAAGACGAGATTACAAAGTCAGATGTAAAAGTAATAGAGCAGGCTCTAGATTCACTTGGAAAGGTTTGTAAAAATTACATTTTAACGAAATATTAGACTTGCAGTTATTGTTGTTCTGCTTGAATGTAAAATATGTATCTAATTTTATAAAGGAAAAGAATATATCTGTTGAGAAAGAAGAATTGAAAGAACTTAAAGAAGAAATGGCCGAGTATCAAGAAGATATTAAAGAATTTTATGAAATTAAGGCTGCTGCAAAGGGCCAAAAAGATATAGAAAGTATCAAAGTATCCAAAGGTGCTACACGTTTGTTTAACAAAGTGAATAAGATGATTAATAAGATGGACGCTGTCTTAACTCAACTTGAATCCGAGAAACAAGAGAAGGAGTCGCTAAAGATAGATATCGTTGATAAGGAAAGTAGTACTAAAAAAGCTGCTGAGGAGTTGGTTAAGATAGACGAATTGATCTCAGCTATAAAAAAAATTCAAAGTGTACCTGATGAAAATCGATTACAACGCATAGCTGAAATTTTAGCAAAAATTGACGATGATAGAGATGGTGCTATAAAACTTGAAGATGTTTTAAAGGTATGCATAAATATGAACTGAGTAAAGGAGTAAGCAGACTTTATAATATTTTTTCATGGTGTTTTTACAGGTAGTAGAACTAATTGGAAAAGAAGATATCAAGTTAAGTAAACAGCAAGTGGACGAATTGATTGAATTGATTGATAAAGAAGAAATTTTGGAAGTAGAAGAACAAATCCAGAAGACGTTGCGAAAAGAGTGTGAACTTAAAGATGGAAATTGTACTGCCACGAACTACGTTGCGCCTAAATCACCAGTTTCTGCTACACCAGTGACGACTGAAAAGGGTTTCGGTAAAGAAGAATTAAATGATAATGTTGGAGATTCGAAGAAAAGTTATACACACTCATCCGAGCAAGAAAGAGAAAAATCAGCTGCAGTTCTTAAAAGTAATTCCAATTCTAACGCAGTCAGAAATCCTCCGTTGACTCCCGGCGTTCCACCACCGGCAAAAAAAGCGGAAGGTTCTAAACAGCTGTGATTACCGCACAATGAAATATATCATTAATGTATGTAACTATGAATACAACTTTTTACTGGGTACTGATTTAGAGAGATATTACATTTTCATCTATAGATTATGTTTCTACCTCTGTAGTATAATATTATTGTAAACTTTTTTTTCGCAAACGGATCCACATAGTAGTGTTTACAACATAAATAGTTGCAATTGTTGCAAATGTGTAGTGAAGCACTTTAAGAATGAATGTTACTATTCCATATATCTCTTTAACCATTTGTAACTAAAACAGGTTCTGAATTTTTAAGACTGTGATGCATTTAATGGCATCGATATATTATTTGTTTTATGAATTATGAAACAATACGTGCTGGACACAAAAAACATATTTTCATGTAAATTTTCAATTAATGTAAAAACTGTTTCCCAAAAATTATACGTAACAATGTTATTACTACTAATACTGATTAGTAGAGAAATGTGACAGGAATAATTTTCAGTTTTCATTTCAATAAAACCTAATTCCAAAACATTGTAATATCATAAAGAATCATTCCATCTGTTCAAGTATTCATTGTTATTACAGAATTCTAATGCATAAATGCTGTAGGCCACTTCTGTTTTGCTTTATAACAGAAACTATCCACCTCTGTAATTGAGGTTGAAACAAGATGTACATTTATAAATAAAATAATTAATTGCCGAGTACATAACACAGAATTAGCGATTACATGTATGTACTGATTACATAAAAACACGATTATGTAATACAGTGTACAACATTTTACTGATAAGGCAAATGTAAATTTACAAATTACATGTTTACTGAATGTTAATCAACTGAAGGTACATAAAACATTATTTTTATTGGAAATAAACTTATGATACAAGAAAGCTAAGATTTAGAATTGTTGCAATAATTATTAAGTAAGATTAACAAGACTAATTTAAATATGTCTACATGATAGTATACGTACAATTGTGTAAAATTACAAAATAATTAAAGTATATATTTTGTCACATAAAAATTATTTTATTTCAGGAAAAACAGGAATGGTAATCATGCCCGGGATAACATTTACTTTTTTACTTTTGTGCATTAAACTGCCTGTTTATGTAATAAAAGTATTTCTGTATAAAATTTAGAGCAATTTTTTCTAGTTTAAGTGCACAGTTGTATTTATTATTTTTATTATGGAAATGATAAATAATTAAAGAATTATATATTGTATGTTTTTAACATAGTTTTTTAACAATCTTACTCTATATTTAATCTTAAATCTGATATTTCACGAAATATATTCTTCACAAAATTATAAAGTTGATACAAAAAACAATTGTGAACTACATGTATTAATGCAAGAACTATTAAATATAATTTCTATTTGTTTTGTTAAATACGAATATATTGTACTTCTTTTATTATAATAATTACAATTCCGTCGAACCGCCTCCTTTCATCCCATGATCAATGAATTTTAAATGTATGTCTTTTTTTAAACATTAATTGGTAATTTGAAAGTATAACTAAATTTTATATTGAGTACAAATTACCGTAATAATAACAAATATTCGCAAAAATAATACTGCTACTCAATGCTACATATTGAGCTTAAATAGTATAGACAGGATAACTATCACATCTACAGGTATCATAAATCTTGGATGCTCGACTATATATTTGGATTGAGCACTAATTTTAAATTTTACTTATAAACAAGTGGTGCTATATGCACGATAGATATTCCGTGAAATTTCATTCGATAATTTGCAAGTAAAGAAAAAATGAAAATGTGTAATCAAGATTTATGCATCATACAGAATTTCAATTGATAGCACATGTATAGATACCAAGTAAAATAATTTGCACTACCGGTCACCTTGCTATTTGTGTAAGAGGTGTAGGATTTGCGTATATCTTAATTATAATGACTGCGTTAGGTGGTTTTATGGAATTTTTTCAGAAAGGAAAGGTAAGAATGCATTTCTATTTGTATTAAATTTATTTCTGTTATAACGAAAATCCTAACCTGGTACGTAATACTATCGATTAATTTTTATACTTAAATATATTTCGCTTTATTTAGAATATACAAAATGATTTATTCTTCAAGTGAATTAAATAATAATACTCATATATCGTTTTAATTCGTATTTTACGCAACTGTTTAACGACGTATTTTAAATTGTTGAAATTTAATATTTTAGACATTTAGGCCGAAAAAGAAATTTGCTCATGGGACATTACGATATTCGTTGCATAAACAAGCACAAGCTTCGTTAAATTCAGGAATTAATTTAAGATCTGTTGTAAAATTGCCACCTGGAGAAGATCTTAATGATTGGATTGCAGTTCATGGTATTTATAAATTATATTGTTAATTTTCAATTATATAACAAATAAACATAAAAGGTATGATCTTCATAGAGAATTCTTTATATTTTCAGTGGTAGATTTTTTTAATAGAATAAATCTGATATATGGTACTGTTTCTGAATATTGTGACTCTGCATCTTGTCCAACAATGAGTGGTGGAGCCCGTTTTGAATACTTGTGGGCAGATGGTGAAAAATATAAGAAACCTACTGCATTGCCAGCACCTCAATATGTTAGTCTTCTTATGGATTGGATTGAAGCACAAATTAATAATGAAACCATCTTCCCTGTGTCAACAGGTATGAAAGCTTTAGCAATTTAAGTACTAATCTCATTATTTGATTATTTGTGTACATCAAAACTTTTTTTTATAGATGTACCATTTCCAAAGACATTTGTGCCATTATGCAGAAAAATTCTAACACGATTATTTAGAGTTTTTGTTCATGTTTATATACATCATTTTGATCGTATTGTAGCAATAGGAGCAGTAAGTTTCATACTCTTATTGATTCAAGGAAACATTATCTGATTATTATATAATTTAAAATTATATTCTTCTGTCCTAGGAAGCACATGTAAACACATGTTACAAACATTTTTACTATTTTGTAACAGAATTTGAATTAATAAATATAAAAGAGTTAGAACCATTGGCTGAAATGACAGCCAAGGTTTGCAAAGATACTGCATCACCAACACAAACAACAGCACCATCAAATAATGCTAGATAGTGGTAACATTTATCAGAGCATAAAATAACCAAATTAGGATGAGGTAAATATTTTTTTTCAATGTAAGTAAAAATATTAAAAACCATTTTTTATTGTTTATTGAAAGTTATTGAAAAATTTTTATTATTAGGATGCTACAAAATATTGGTATCATTTTCATTGCCATTTACGAAATTTGCAACAAATTTCATCAAAAGCTTTATTATGTATAGTGCATATATCCTATTATTGTACTAAGAATAATTTTCCGATTTTGGAATAAGTTAGTAATGTAAGTATATCACTCTCTAATTAATTATATTAAGGAAAAGATAAATAATAAATTTAGTTCTTTATGTATCAAGCAATATTTAAATTATGTAATTAAAAGGCTTAAAGTATAATATAATCAAATTTCCAAAGTTTTAGATCTTTTATAGGTAATATTCACATTTTTTGTGGATAAATAGTCAAAGCAATAAATTATGTTTTTATATTTTG